GCCCCTGGAGAATTTGAAAAAATTTCTCAATTTGGGAAATCCAAATTTTTTTAAATTATGAAACTCTGGCAAAAACAGGAAAGAGGCAAAAGTTTTCAAGATGAAAAAAATCAGGCACCAAGAAATCAATTTCAGCACCTTGCACATATAAAAACCATTGAAGAGGAAACCAGATGCAGGAGATGAAAATCAGTTGAGAGCCCACAATCATTTCTGCATAGAAAAAGGAAATCATGCCCAATATGGCCAGAAACAGGAAGATGCAGTGACAAGGAATCATAGCCAGGAGAAAATTCAATCAAAGATTTCAATTCCAACCATGCCTTGCTGCCTGACAGGATAAAATTTGTCACTGCTGTTCCCACTCAAAAAGCCTTTGGTGGCCTCAACATTTTTCTGAAGTGATTTTTTGCTGGTGTTCAAAAAATTATGCTTTTTTATTGCAAAGGAGAATTAGGCCCATTTTTTGTGCAGCATCAGGCCAAAATGTGGTTTAATCCGGCCCTGGCCTCAGCTTCCTCAGAGAAGTCTTATGCCCTCAAATCAGGCCCATTCGTGTAAGTTTATATTTGTGAATAGTAGCATGACGATCATGTGCTATCTTCAGAATATCTCGGGAACTGATGTTGCTGAAAAAGAAGGATCTGATATTATTCTCACTGAAGGCAACTTCTCAAGCATCGTCAAAGCCGTAATGTTGTGTCGCATTCGTCAAGACAGTGTTGCTATATTTTTTCAGTTTTAATCGGCCATGAACATCGTTGCTCTCATTCTTGCTTTTCTTGGTGCTTGAGCCATCAGCGATTGTCGCTAATTTTAATGCAGGGTCAAGCCATGCTGTCTGATGTTTATAATGAATACGAGTATTTCCTGCTGATGAGCAGGCTGTGCAAATGCTGTGGCTGAACCTAATATACTTCGCATTGGCAACAGAAGTGCCTGTGACGGAGTTACTCTTGAGAAAGCCATATGGTCGCTAAAGTTATGGATAACTTCTTAATTGTAATGCAGAATATGCAGTAGTACGGTAGTTGTGAGAATACAGTACATTCATTCGATGCGCAGTTCAAACCGGTGTTCGCGTACCGCAACATGTTGTCTGCGGACTTGCGCCAGAATGCAGGCATTTTTTGCTGGTCCGCGAGACATTTTCTGCCGCATAATAAATGTATCAAACTCAGCAATGAATTTTGTCGTCTTTATGTGTAATTTTTGAAAGACAATGGGGGTTGAAATTATCTGACAAAAAATATGTTATTGGGATTTTCTCATAATAACCTCTCATGCAAATTTTCATCAGCTGAAATAAGTAATTTCAACTTTTTCATTCTGGGAAACCTCCAAGCCCATCTTTCTGATTTATTAACATACTGTATTTGACTGTAGCTACAGGAGTTCATTGGTTTTTTATTCAATTCATGCAAAAAGTATAAAATTTTTAAATACCTGACATGGAGTCTTTCAAGCTGCACTTCTTTAAATCTGCGAAGATTTTATAAAACTTTGTCAATCCACAGACAATGTTGGGAAATTTGCCTGTCCGCAAAATTTTTTTATGGAAATTTTTTGGTCTGTGGACCCAAAAAGGTTGGGGAACTCTAGTTTAAGCCTTTTTTGCTGGTTTGTTTTTCTTATCCAGATGTATGGAAGGATTATTGGGTATTTCATGTATTATTTTCTTTTTGAGAATAGTATTTTGAAAAGGTTACATCATATACCTCTGTTTCAGGAATGCACTGCTCCGAGCATTGACTGTGGAAGGTGAGCAGCAGAGATTCAGGACCCACGGTCTCTGCATGTCACCATTATTTTCAATATCTTCATTTCGATGACTCAATGAAATCAGTTAACGGCCAAGAAAGCGTATTTTCCGGACGCAAACTGCAGATATTTTTGCGATTCCTATTTCAGTACCTTTCGTAGGACTGCGAGAAAGAAAAAAATTGAGATTGATGCTCATGAGACTCTTCAATTTCTCCTGTTGAGCAAATTATTGCGTTATTTTCGGGAAGCATCTGGCCCATGTATGAAAGGTTTCCACGTTTTTGTTTTCTGCATTCCAAGTTTTGGCTCTATTTCCAATCCCCAATTGTGTATAAGGATACTACTTGACTTGGTTTGCAGATGGGTTGGGGTAAACCAGAATAATTTGTTCATTTGGTATATCTTTAATGCAAGGAAAGAACTGGTAAGAGCTTGAAATACATTACAGTCATTGATTTCACCAGAATTTCTGGGCATGTACATTTTCCCGACTGGGGAGATGCCGACGCCGCGCATCGCCTGTCTTTCCTTGGATGGACATTCCCCTGTACAAATGATGAAAAAGGTTTACAGCCCACCTAAACTAACCTGACCTAACCTAATCTAACCTAACCTAACGTAACCTAACATAATTCAACATAACCTAACCTTACCTAATTGAATTAAACATAACCTAACCTAACTGAATTTAACCTCACCTAATCTAACATAACCTATACGTACAGGAATGTCCAACCAAGGAAAGACATGCGATGCGCGGCGTCGGCATCACCCCGGTCGGGACCTTGTCAGTTCCCGAATTTCTGTTGCATTTCCTGGCCATCGCATAGTAAGGGCCAGCGACCTCTAGACGCCGCCCCCTCTACTATTCCCTAGTTTGGCGCGCACAGCGTCCTCGACTCCCGAAGCACCCGCCGGCCATGTCAACCGGCGAGGCTAGCCAGGGAGCTGAGTCTCGTCAGAACTGCAAACAGAGAAAGACCTCTTTTGAAAACCCGAATCTCCCAATCCGAATCTACGCGCACCGAGTGTTGATCACCGACCTTCTTATTTGACAAGAGCTCCTATTGAACTCAAACAATAAAACCCCTTGTGTATTCCTCCCGAAATCCCTGGTGTTTGTTATTCTTGTCTCAGGCGCTCTTACTGCATGAACTGATCAGCATTGATGGGATTCCGTGATGAATCACTGACGAATACCTGATGTGATGGTAGGAAGTGTCTAGTTCATCAAAGGGAAGTAGTAGCTCTGAAAGGAGGAACCATCTGATAACAACTGCTTGCAGATTGCAGTATAATTGCCCCAAATTCGCAAACCCCTGTTGACCTGAACAGGAAATCAAAGCATGGTCTGATTGCGGTTTATTCAGTGCTATCTAGATGTCGCGAAAGTATAGTGGATCTTGTGTCATGGCGGCTACTCGTGTTCTGGATGCGACGCACAAGGACTTCTATCGGCGCGCGGCGAGTTGAGGAAGTGTTGATTCATCGGTATTGCATCATGTGCTCAGTTTCGGTACCCGGTCCGTGCCGCAAAGTTGTTCGGATTCCTTGCGCAGTGTTCGAGTTATCTCTGTGGAATCTGCTAGCATGAGACATTCATTTTTTCTTTTTCAGAAAACTGTGACGGTTGAAAGTGATATACAGTAGTAGGATGGCGGCAGAGCAGAGCTCGCATCAGACTTCAGTAGTGGGTTCGGATGAGAGTAGCATCGTGAAGATTGATGATGAATTCGAAGGTGCGGGGACGTTCGATAGACCAAGATCTGTTGACCCTGATGAGGTAATGTCAACTCCGACAAAGTCGTAGTAAATCTTCTTTCACGCTATTCCATTCACTAGGTAACATTCCAAGATGTCGCGGACGCGTATATCAAAGGGAAGGACATCACATGTTATTTCAATCTCGGGGACAACGTTGAAATGCGTAATGGTGATCGCATCGCGATTTTCAAAGTTCCCTGGTGCTCGATCCACGATTTTATTTGCTTTCACTGGGCTAAAGAAGGGAATGCTGAACTGAGACTAAAATCAGGCCATAGCCAATCGCGCAAGGAGCATAAGAAAATCTTCGCTGCTGAGAAGCTTTCCGTTTTGTTGGCGGATGAAGAGACGTATTATCAGTTCTGTTATGTGTCGGAGGACGGCGACATTATTGGCAGGAGCGAAACGTTCCAGATTTTTGTGGAAAATAAGGCTATGAGCTCGTCGATGAAGACCTCTATCATTGAGGTTCGTCCACTAAGACCACGGAAATTTATCCTTCATTCATCTTGATAATACCGTTTCTCTGTAGGGATGCCAAGATTGTGCTGAGATGAAGCGTCGCATTTCTTCGTTGGAAACAGTATTGGCTGAAAGCACGAGGGACAAGGCTGCAGCAGTCATCAACGAAGCTATGGCGGATGACCTTCAAGTAAGCAATTTCGCCGAAAACCTCCAAAGCTGTGCAGGATTAATCCCATTGTCATTGCATCGTGCAGAAACTGCGGGAACGAGTTCGTGAGCTCACGGATCAGGAGCATTGTCTGAAAGAAAGTCTGAGGAAGATCCATGCTGATTATGACTCTGTTGAGCAGGTGAGTTAGAGGAATTTCGAGACCAAGACTTCTGATCAATTTTTATTTCCTTCCAGGCCGTTGGTGGTTCATCAGATGAGCCTTTGCTCTCGAAAATTGCCGCTTTTAAAGTGAACAAAGAAGAATTTGACGCTGTGACAGATTTCGTCAGTCGGGCTTCTAAAACTGGCTTGGCAAGTATCAGCGAGTTCCCTGGAATCAAGAACAATCCTGTAGTGGACTACGTGAAAAATAAGGTAGCCGAGGTTGAAGTTCTGCAAGAATTGATTGAAAGGAAGGAATCGGAGCTGAATGTCATCAAGGATGAGCTGAAGTTTGTTCGAGAAAGTTCCGACGAGTTGCTGAAAGCCATGAACGACGAAATGGTAAATTTCATTTCCAGAGAGAATTTAGAGAGCCTTCGGGAGAAAAAATTAAGCATCGTTTTTTCTCCAGGACGCTAAGGTCCGTGTTCTTGAGCGCACTGTCCAGAATCTTCAAGAACAGAACAAGAAGAACGTGGAAGTGATCGCTACTGTCGGCGTGATACACCACAATCGTCGCAGTAACGTGGACCGTTACCTCCGCCAATTGATGGAATCCGACGCGCCGGAATTCCAAATTGTCAGAGATATGCATCCCAAGGTGATGGGTTACTTGCTTGACGAAGACGACGTCGCCAAAGTGCCAGCTCCCAAGGTCTTGTCAATCGACACTGACACTCGTGATTCCGTGGAACGCAGCGTTTCTTCGCAAACGTCTCCGGTGTCCGAGGAGAATGCGGCTGAAAGACTCGTGGAAAAGATTGTTCCTGCGATCACTTCAGTGGTAGAGACCGCGGTGAAGAATGCGATGACAACCAGTATGATGTCCGTGGACTCGGAACCTACTCCGATCGCGAATTCTTCGCAAGTTGACGTTGAGGCTGAGGTGGAGAAATCCGATGAACCTGAGGAGGTGAAAGAAGAAGAACTAGAAGTTCAACAAGCAGTCGATACGACTGAGGAAAGCAAAGACGAAACCGTTGCCGAAAAAGAAGAAGAAGGAGAAGCAGCAGCAACTGCGCCTATCCCGGAAATGACTCGTCGTATGGAACCACCTGCTCAGAATTGTTATCCATTTCCTGCTCCGATCCCGGAAATGTCTCGTCCTCACGCTGCATTCATGCACGGTGTTGCCCCTGAGCCCGTCACGGTGCATCCTCTTCATCCAACATATGGAGTCTACAGACCAGTTCTTGCCCCTGGGTTTTTCCCACCGAATCGTCCTGCTGTTCGACCGATTCCTTTGCATCAGGTTATTCTAAGTTTTTTTTCTTTCTGCCTGCTTTTTTCGTGTTGGGTAGATTTTATAGTGACACATTTTCGGTTGATTGGCATTCCTAGAACCCCTTCGGCGGGCTGTTGGCAAGACCGAGAAATCCCGTGCCATGGGACCATCTTCGTCCGTCATTCCCAATGACTCCGCCATGGGAAATCGGCGCTTGTCCGGTCAGGAAGACGTTGCGACATTTTCTCGATTTCCACACATTCAATAAATGTGGATATCGAGAAAAGCACCTTTTGTATTTCATACAGTTGAACCTCGATAACTCGAACTTCCCTATGCCGAATTTTTTTCAAAAATCCTGTCTGAATTCCCTTAGCGTGGTGTTGCCCGTGATCCTGTCATGGTGCGACCTCTTCTTCGTCCTTCATTTGGAGTCTACAGACCACTTCTTGCCCCTGGGTGTTTCCGACTGAATCGTCCACCTGTACGACCAATGCTTATGAATCAGGTGATTCCAAGTCACCTGATGCATTGAAAAACCTCCCGAACTTCAAATGGCTTTTCTCCTTGAACCTCCATAACTCGAATTTTCTTCTATTTTTTTTTCTTATTCAGGCAGAAAATATAAAAGCAATAAAAATTTAGTTTGAAAGGAAGTCAGACTAATTGGACAAATGAGCTTTTGCCTCCAGTGAGTTAGTTATCATTGGAGAAGCAATTTCAGACCTAGAATAACACAAATTCCTATTTCCTCCACATTTTGGTTTTGATGTACAAACTTGATCCATCCCTGAGCAAAGTTTGTTCACCAAATCACATTCTCCCTTGAAGTACAGAAATAATTTTGATCGGTTCCAAAACATTGAAAGTCGAGAAATGGTTTCTTCAGAAATGATTACTGGGCATAGAATTCAAGAACTTTAGTTGTTGAAGTAAAAGAGAAACTCAATTAAGGACAACAGCCCTCCAAAAATTTTAATTTTTCAAGATAGTTGAGAAGTGTTTGAGTCCTGGGCATCTTGAAAAATTCTGACATTAAAAGATTCAAGAAGTTTTTTTCTGGCTCCCTTGAAACCATTTTTAACAATCAGAAGTTCGGAATTGTATAGTTTTTCTAGCAGAATTTCAGATCAGCACTTTTGATCAATGCATCAACAAGATAAATTGTGTTGGACAGGGAAGCACAGGCTTTTGCTAGAAAAAATATAACCTATTCACATATGATGTAACCAAAGTTTTGAAACCAAGTCTGGGTTTGTCATTCAAGGCAGCTGAGACCCAAACCCGAACCAGGGCATATGTTAACCAAAGCACCATTATAATTCTTTTCCATGGACATACATGGTTTTTTCCCAAACCGAAAAACCTCCCCAACTTGAGTTTTTTGCTGATCCCTTGAAGTTTGACTTGAAGAGGTTCCACTGTATCTTTTAGCTAATCTTCCTATAATCAGGGTTCATTCTGCCTCAAGGCCGCACGTTGTGTTGTAAATTTCCTGTTTGCAATTGTCGAGTGAGCATGTGTTTGAGAGGATGATATTTTGGGTCGCGTGTGTATTTTAAAAATGGGCGTATGAACCAGCTTTTGTACTGTAATTGAAGATTTTTTTCTTTTTTTTCCAATTGTATTCTTCAGCGTGCGCCGAGAGCGATGCAAGCTGATGCAGAACAGGCTGCCAGAAATGCGATGGACGCTGTGAATCAGTCTGCTGCTGCGGCAATGCGAGCAACTGATGAAGCTGTGCGCAATGCTGCTCATGCCACCAGACAAGCAGCTGCTGCAGGGGTGGAAGCTGCGCGTGTTGGAGCTGAAATTGCTGCCGGATTAACGCGTGCCAATGTGGGTCAATCTGAACCGGACGTGTAAGAAAAATTATCTGTCTTTCAAAGTTGTTCGTTTGTTGTAAAGTATTCCTTAATGGGGGGTTATCTTGTGCAGGCCCGTGTTTTGTCCGATCTGCAACATGGCCTTTCCTGTTGGAGGGCAAACAACTGCGGCGATGGACCGCCATTTCGAAGACGAGCACTGTGACTTTAAGTGTCCGATTTGCTTCTTGGAATTCCGTCGGGAACGTGAAGCTGAGTTTGTTTCTCACGTGAATGACTGCGTCTGCGTCAATGAACCAGAAGAGAATGAAGAATCCGAGCGCAGATCAGCTGACGATTTCTCTTGGATTGGCTAAAAGGAGCACGAAGATGACAAAGAATCGGCGAATCGCAGTGTACACACATATACATACCGTACTACGCATGATGGAATGGTCAGATCCGAGTTCCGGTAGATTTGAGATCGAAAAAAAAAATAACGCACCGGCGTAGAATTCTTTGACGAATGATGACTTTCGACTTGATTGTGTGAAAGGACCGACAAGTAGTTGTTGAGATCCGAAAGAGTGGAAGCTGTGCGAAACTGTGGTGGTTCGATGAGCTCATTTTTCTGTGACACATGTTTTCGAGGACTTTAAGGAAATTGGTGGATTCGTTTTCGAAAGGTTAATTTTGTTACGTTACTTCTCTCGACGAAGGGTATTTGATTTTTGATTGTGATCGCTTTTTGGGTGACATACGTGTCGATGGAGTGTGTGTGTGTGAGTGGAAGATGCTTTGTTTAATTTTGATTATGGGCTGAACTCGGATCGGTTAAAGATAAAGTGAGGGAAGGGTTCCATCTTTGTCGAATACTGTACTGAGAACAACAGGACTGAACTGATTTGAAACTTGCGAGTGTTTATTTTCTTACCCTTCTCCCTCGTTGATTGAGTACATGATGTGTTTTTCTATTTCGTCTGCAGGTTTAATTTCGGTTTGTTTGTTTTCGTCTCTTTCAATTATGTCCCGAGGCCGTGGGTCGTCCGAGACGAAAGTGTATGTTGGCGATTTGAGTGAGTATAATGTTAGAGTGGAATTTTGTGCGATGTGTCAAGTGAGGAAGAAATTGATACTCCTTTTCGAAGGTCCGAGCACGTCCAAGGATGAGATCGAATCCGCGTTTGGGTATTACGGGAATCTGCGCAACGTTTGGGTCGCTAGGAACCCTCCCGGGTTCGCGTTCATCGAGTTTGATGATCTACGTGATGCAGAAGACGCTGTTCGTAACTTGGATGGGAAGTGAGTGAGATATTTTCTGTCGGAGTTGATTTGGAAAGTGTTCAGTGGCTTGTGTGTGTTGAAAGTTATCTCGAGAAATTCGGGATGCGTCGCGAATTCATTGGCTTCTTTCTGCTGTAACGTCTTTCAAGATGAATGCGAAGAGGCCTGAAAACTTCGTTGTATAGCCTTCTTAATTCGTATTTGGTTTCAAGTCCTGGTCTGAATTCTCTCAATAACAATGCATTCGAAGCCCTCCTTAACTCGAAGGCTTTCCTCCTTTACTTCCCGTATCTAGGAGTTTTTGGATGCCATTTGGCTCTTGTTTTTTCGACACGGGAAATATAAAAGCAATACAAATGTAAGTGAACAGAATGAATGAACAGAACACTTCATTTGCCGCTTTTCAGGATTCACAAGGTTCAATCAAGTTTTCCACCTCCAAACCCCCTCCCTACCCAACCCAAATTCACTCAATGAAATTTAATCACTGCAGAGCAGGAAATGGAGCACAAATTGATGACAAAAATAAGAGAAAATACAATCCACAAAATACAACTGGACATCTTACATGCATGCATACACCCATTCATTCCCTGACATTGAAAACAAAATATCAGTAAAAAATGAATTTAGAGCACAAGGTCTTTAGCTTGTTTCTGTATGAGGTTTAGTTGAATGAACAATTTAGAGAGCATCTTTGATGAGAAATCATATAAGGCCAACATTTTATCTTGATCCTTTTAAGATTTCAGAAAGGGTCTCTTCATTGAATTTCAATGCTTGTAAATCTTTCTTAAGCTCATTTCCATCAGTATGAAATGCTGGACATATGTAAGTGAAAGACCGATTGTGCAAATGAACCCTTTCCACCAAGTGCAGCATCTTATTTGAGAAACAATTTAAGGCCCAGAACATCACCTATTACAATTTCTCGTGATTCGTTTCACTTTTCCCCATAGAAAAATGCTTGTCCCTTGAAGTCCAACTTGAAGATTTTCGATTGTATTCACGCTTTGTGTTCTTCATATTTTGTGTAGGAGGATCGGTGGACGACGAGTTCGCGTGGAAATTTCGACGGGAAAGGCGCCACGGTCCCGAGGCGGCTCTCGAAGCAGTAGTCGGCGCCTAAAGCCGTTTAATCCGACGGATCGGTGCTATCGTTGTGGGATTCGAGGCCATTATGCTTATGATTGCGAAGACTCGAAACGTCGCAGGTGAGAGAGAGGGAGAAATAAAAATCCCAGGACACCACAGTATTATACGAGAGGAAGGAAAAAAAAAATTCCGTAAGAAGAGACTAAGTTGCTTTGAATGAAGCCGCTATATTGCACGGGGTAGTTTTACGAAAAGAGAGAGGACATGAGGGAGAATGAAATTTTTGGTTTTTTGAAAAATTCCGGCAACTTTCAGGGCGTGTCTCTCGTGCGTTTGTTTCGAGAGACGACGACTCGCCGAGAAAATGTTGATCGTCGTGTGATCAGTGATTACGTGTGATCAATGATCAATGATGAGTCGGCGTCGCCTCGACTACTACTACTACTACTCCGTGCCACTTCCTGAGAACCTACTTGATCTTCTTCTACTTATCCGGGTTCGACTGTGAAGAGAAGAGTGTAAATCTTTCTGATGGAATGCCAAATCTTGCGTTTCTTAATGTTTATCCTCTCTTTTTTTTCAAAAATTTTTCTTTTCTGGTAGTGGGTCTAGGTCGCCGTTGTCTCGTTCCCGGTCTCGCACACCGCCGCCGCGGAAACGCAGGAGGTCTTCGCCGCCGCCCGTGCCGCCGAGATCTCGGTCCCGCTCGAGGTCTGTGTCATCGGAGGACTCGAGAAGTCCGTCTAGGTCCCCCTTGCCGCCACCACCGTCTTCGTCGTCAAGGAACAAGTCAGGCAGTCGGGGTGGTGGTGGACGTCGCAGTCGGAGTAGGTCCAGGTCGTCTCGTTCGCCGCCGCCCAAGCGACGAGTGGGCAAAAGTAGGAGTCCTCCTTCGGGGGTCTCGTCTCCTGCAAGTCGTGATTCTCGCTCAAGGTATTTATTTATTTAAAAAAAAAATGAAGTCTTGCTTGAGTATTTTGAAAATATTTTAAATATTTTCATGCGTGTGTGTGTATGTGCTTTTGTCCAGATCCCCGCCCGCAAGAAAGAACGGACGCAGTCGGAGTCGTTCTTCCAGCCGGTCGGACTGACGGAGGGGGTTTTTTAAAGATTAGTTTTGCTTTTGATGATGATGGGCGATATGTGTGTGTGTTGAGAGAGCGAGAGACACGTTGCTGGAGAAGAAGAAGAAAAGGAAATTCCGGAATTGGTGCGCCATGGTTCTTTTTTGTTTTTGTTTTGTTCTTTTACGTTTGTTTCGTCGTCATCATCATCATGATCGTGTGCCTTTCGCGCATTGGTTTCCTTCTTTTTCTTTGGGCGAGTGTGCGTTTTTTATGGCGAAGAAATTTTGCAGATTTACCTCGAATTAAGGGAGGGGTGGTTGTTTTCTGCGCGGGGTTGGTCGAAGGTATAGTGAGACTAGCGAGTGAGTGGTGGACATCCTTCCCTCTCTTCGGGCCGAAGAGAGGGGGGTGTGATTTTCCTCCCCCACTGTACTGCGTGTACCGCCCCCGGAGCGAGTCGTCATTCCCAATTGCTTAGGCCTTGTGTTCTCGGATGGACGAGATAGGCTTGCACTGCGTTTCTTTGAAGCGTCCAAGAAAAATAAAAAGCGATGACTCGTTGAGATCGGTGAAATTATCCGTAGTTGAAAATTTATTTTTGAATTATTCTCGTGTGATCCTTGGTAGGCAAATGTGCGGAGAGAAATGAACGCTGTAAAAAAAAGCCTGGAAAATAGTGACACGTGCCTCTGATGAAGGAAACATAATGAGGAAAATTCGGTTGAAGTATTGTAATGGACTTGGTAAGCAAGTGAAATGATACTGTTGATACCTTCAGAAAATTAACTTCTGGATTTTTTTCGAGTTGCAGAAATTGAACAACAGATATTCTTGGGGCAGAGAACTATAGCTATACAGGAAGTTAAGTTGGTGAAATTCTGATATGGGTTTGAAACTGTCGCGTAAATGAGCTGAACATGAAGGCGAAGGTTCATTTGCCCAAAAATAGTGGCTCATTTTGATTCGGAAAGCTTCAAGACACATTTCAATTGCTTGTTTTCTTCCCTAGTTACCTAAAATAGATACACGAGGTCTAGTAGAATTTTGAGTTGAAGGTGGGAAGTCCTGAAGTTTGGTGGGTTTCTATGACACTCTTTTCGGAGGAATTTAAATAGGGACTGAACACATTTGATGCAGGAATGTCTTTGACGTGAAGTTCGAGGTATTGAGGTTGAACTGTGGTGCAGTGCAACTCTGAGAAAAGCATTTGTTGAGGTCTCCAAACACTGGAAAATACAACAGAAGTCTTCAGTGGTCATCTTTCTGACTCCCTAGAGATTCTCATTTTTGGGTCTCCACTCTACAAGATACCTGAAGGGTAATTCATTTATTGGGAAGGAACATGTTTTCATTCACAAGACCAACTTACCTCACAATCTCTGCTGCCACTAACAATTATAGTATTTATATGAGAACAATATCTTAGCTGCCTGCTGGTCAACATGGTTTGAGATGTCTTCTGTTGTTATACTTGCTATCTGCATAAAAAATATTTCAAGAGTACTCCACATTAAAGCCCAATTTCCAATGCAATTTTTACTACTGTGGAGGAAGTTTTTGTATTAAGAATACTACTTGTTTGGACCATCAGAGGTTCTATTTATAGAGGCACTTGAAAGTACTGTATTTGAGAAAGAACATTCTGGAAATCCGGTTCTCTCAAAAAGAAGAGGAATAGCCCATTCATTTGCTAGACATAAGACAGCAAATGAATGGAGTCTTCCTGCTTACACAAGTACATGAAGAGAAGCGTGTTCGTTGAAAGATGCCAGCTTTCGCAAATGTTTCCACCTTCTGCATGGTAGAACACCAAGGCCCGATTTTTGGCCTTGGTGTTCACGCTTGCTGAATTCAGCCGCAAAAAGAACATAGCAGAGAAAACCAGACGAGGATGCAGTTCAGCTAATCTTCTGTATTAGCATCAACACTAATGGATGCGACTGTGCGTGTCATGCGCTCGTGCCAGAGCCTGTGCCGCAATTTCCCCGAATTGTACAGGTGCAATACTGTATTTAAATGAAGCATCGATACTGCTGCACTCTGCGCCCAGCTATTGTTCCAGAAGTGAATTCTTTCAAATGGCATCATCTCTTTCTCAGAGCAAGACATGGAAAGTAACCCTGCTGCCGAGACATGCACTCGGATCAGACTCCGTATATATGTAGTTCTAATAAATTCCACCACTGTACTTTTCATTCGAAATCAAAAACAAAGCCTTCTTCGTCCAACGATTTATTCGCAATGCAGACACTTTCAGACAGACTCAACCTTTGAATCAGACTAAGCCATTTCGCCGCATTGAGCATTTTCGAAACAAAAAAACCGGGGGTTTTCAAAACGCGATAAATTCGCAAAGCACCATCAATCCCAGGAAAATGCACGGACGGTACAGGTTACAGTACTGCACATATAGACACATGATTGTACGCGTTGATTCGCACAATAAGAAGACGACCAAGAACATACAGAAATAAATCATTGGAATGGAGTACCTCATCATCACAATAATTAGCCTCCCTTCATCCATGGACAAACTTGACGGTTGAATTCACGGAAATGCGTTGTTTGGGTTGACCGTCAATCTGCATCAGGCAACAGTGAACACCAAAAGGTATTTTCGGACCCCGGGTCGCAGCCAGAGTCGTCAATGGCTCACTCGCCTTCGCACCTGTTCTCTGGTCGATGCAAATCATCTGACACCGGCTGCACTGTCCCACATTCTATTCAAATAATAAAAATTTCAGTAAATCAACTTGAAGTACGGTACATGGTCATATTTTTCTGCTGACTAATTACTTTATAAAATGTCAGAAAATGATGGATCCAATTTCTGCGTGATTCTTGTACCATGAAAATTAATTTTAAAATTCATACGGGCACGAGAAGTTCGATAATCCTCCGGTTTCCTTCATATTTCGGTTTTTTTGCTGCCAATTTGCAAGAATTTTCGATGCTTACAATCGATGTAGCATTTTTTGATTGCGTAACATACTGGAAAATCATTTCTGACTTACGAATTCGACCTTACTTTTCCATACAGTACTTTGAATTGAAAAGAAAAAGGCCAGCCCGAGCCTAGGGCTACATCTCGTGCGCTTCCCGACAATTCCGAGTACAGTACTCCTCTTGGACATTACAAAATAATTTGCGAACACGTGATTAAACTGCAATATCTTCCAGAATGAGTTTCATACGACGTACGTGACCCCTGTTTAAATATGTGACCAAGACGAGTAGAAAAAAGAAAAGCACTTCATCAAAAGGATTTTTAATTAAAAAAAAAAAGAAATATCTAAGGGTACTGTACTGTACTTCACTCGCCTTCAAAGTTAAACCAGAGTCGAAAATGAATTCTTTGGTCACGTCCTCGACGTACGGCTCTTCGCATTCAATGACGATATTCGGTCGAAACCTGTCCAAAAGTTCTTCTTCATCAAACAACGAATGTCCTTCCGATTCGTCATCCTGGTCATCACCCAACGTCAGCTTTCCCATCAGGTCCCGAACACTTCCAGTGGAAACGATCAGGAACTGGGCTTCGTTCGTCAACGTCAAAGTACCTTTTTCCGTGCGATACAGCATACGTATAAGAGATATAGTCTTTTTCTTCAACACCAGCAATAATATTAATAAGGAAAGCCTGCCTACCGTTGGAATTGATTTCCTGTCGCCGTTTGAAGTGAGGATCGATTCTCAGCAATCGCGGGAAATCATTGCGATACAAAGCATCTTTGAGCCAAGCAGACAGTTCGTCTCCGCAGTCCAACACTCGGACTCGGTCTCCACAGACCTTCGATTGACAGATGGGTCCGTTATTCGAGGCAACTCTGATGGAGACTGTATCGTCGGGCTCCAACGCAGTCGAAATGTCCGGCATCCCTGAAAAAACAATCGAGAGAAGTCCTCATTAAATCCTGCGCTGATTCAGCCATCATTGCGCTTCTCTCTCTCTCAACGATGCCAAAGCTTGCAAATGCACGGATATCATTAAAATGTACACATAATATCCACATACTGTAATGCTAAATACAGTGATGCGAACGTGGGCATAGTCTCTTTACAACTATATACAGGATATTATTGGAAAAGGTGGTACAATACATGCATAAAACTTCTGACTTTATTTCCCATGCTTGTTGAAACTCCCTACTTCAGTTTTCAATACAACTTTAGATCCCTACAATGTTGGGCTTCATTCGTATCAAATATTTCAGCACAAGGAATTTGACACAGGGAGGTAGGTATTCGAGTTAGGGTGGAACCTCAGTTGACAAATTGTCCAGTTAGCAAACTTTTTTGGTAAACAAACTTCTGGTTTTGAGTAAATATCCCTCGGTGAAGAAACCAAAATTCAGTCAACAAACTTCTATCTCAAGAAAAATCCCAATTTCGAAAATTCAAAATTTGATTTTAGGGGCTGAAATTTATGGTACAACGAGGGTGTAAATAATTCACCCATGCCTTGAGATGGAAATTCTTACCTTCTGGTTCCGGAAATCTAATATTTGTAATCTTGTGTTTTAAAATTGGTTCCAGCTACAGTATTCATCTATGCTTTTCTGTGCTTGGTTTTTCTAGTTGTTCAATGTTTGGAAGGAGCTATTTGATTTTTACTAGCAGCATTGAAAAAAATAAATTTCATTTGCACCTGACATGTCTCCTTCAGTGTGTGTTTCTCTGCATGTGAAGCTTTTTCCTTTTTATTTTCTTCATAGGTTATTAACATTAAAACCATATAAATGCTGTGGGCTCAAATAAGATGAAGCAGCAACTTATTCTCATTATAGTTGATGGTCTTGAGTTTTTTTTTTTTACAGTATATTTAATTTTCAACTGTCTTCCGGGTTCGTGGAACAGATTGAATTCTTCCCCATTGAAGTCCACAGGAAGATAAAATTTGGTCAACACACTTCTGCCTGGAATCAATTAAGGGTGTTAACCCGACGGCCCATTGCATTCTTGTTCAACTCTTCTAAATAATCTAAATAACTCAAAACCCAGGACAGGAGATGGAGGATATACGAGGTGAGACTATAATATAAGAACACGTTCACTGCCATTCCCTCATCTGAAACATTTCGTGTGGATCTACACAGTATACTGAGTTGAACAACACACACGCCGATCCGTTCGAAACCCATCGTCACGAGACACTCATCATCAGAGACACAGACCTTCCGCACAGAGCCAGAGACGACCCGCAGCCAGGTCGATCCTCGGCTTGATCAAGCACAACCTCGGCTCCCGCTTCTGCGCCAACGCCACGCCCCTCGCATCCGCCACCATCCACGTCCGGTCGTAGGCCAGTCCAGTGTCCACCACGTCCCAACCCTGGGGCACGTAGAACGCGGCACACGACTTGACCGGGTACACCCGCAAGTCCGTCACGATGAAACAATCTCGACTACTGCTGCTGCTGCTCGTCGCGACGCCTTCCGCGAACGTCGACGATTTTCGACACGGAACGCGTCCGTCTACGAAACACTCGGCGATGACTCTGAGCAAGGCGGAAACGTCTCGATGCCCAGACATGTAGCCGAAAGAGATCCGGATGCAACCGGTTGGACGTCCGTTCACCAAGTCCAAGCCGTCTCCGCAAACGTGGCCCGCCTGCAACAACAACAATAACAAGGATGGACAGCACTCATCAGGAATGGATCTTCAGCACAATACACTTGAGCAGAAGAACCGGATTGATGAAGGCATATATTCCCTTTGATGCGCGAAAAGATGGCTTCAAAAGAGACCAGAGAAGATGACTCCTGGGCTTTTGCTTGATGCACGGAAGGAAATAGGAAACCTAATACTTGATGAAGCGGGTCTTATGTTTTTAACGCCCGTTCTTCCCCGAGCACAGCACTCAAATTCAATTTTTAATCACCAAGGAACCAGGACTTGTTCAATTTTTTCTAATTTTCCTGGATCGTATTTCCATGAATTCGCACGTCTGGGAGCAGTATCAACCCAGCCGGGCAAAATAATGAAAATAACAGATGACTCCGCGCGTTAATGGGAGAAATTAAAGACACAGTCAGAAAGCAGTTCAACACCATTGAGATTGAGTTGTGGCGTACCTTGAATCGGTGGTTTACATACTGTACATAATACCAAGGTTTAAAAATGTTCTAGGAATAGTCATTGAAACGGGGTATATACGATTCATCCGGAATACAATTATTGCCCAAAAAGGAAGAAATTTATCTTCGGCACAAAAAAAAAATTAGCCCTGTTTTGACCTACAGTATTTTTTGCAAATTTATTCCGAAAATTATCCCTGCAGCTTTCTGCTTTTCATTCAAAACGATGAGATGCCCATCCTGCAGATTTTTCGGAGTACCCCAGCTTTTCCTTTATGATTCTTGAAATTGACATGGCATTCATTCCACGGGTTGACGCCATTAATTGATCATAAACTCCGCCATTTCCGTCGACAGCCGTCACAATCTGATCCCAAGTGGCGGCTGTCAACGAAAATGGCGGAATTATCACCTTGAAAAACCCTTGGAATTAATGCCTCGTCCATTTCAAGAATTTTGAAAGTAAATCTGGAATAGACACCATTAAACGTTCACGAGTGAAAAGCAGATGCCTGCCAGGGTGATATTAGCAAAATAATTTGAAAAAAAAGCCAGAAAAGGCTGATTTTATTTTTCTTGTGCCAAAGAACGCTTTTCCGGACAATAATTGTCTCTAGCTCAGTCATATGAGCCGTTACGATTTTGATCCCGAGAATTTTGGCTACAGCCAGGGGTGCCCAAGATACCCGCGGACCAGATCTGGCCTGTGGAGGTTTTTCATCTGGTCCGCAGAGCCATCACGGAAAATCGCCCCCAAAAAATTAAAACCACCAAAAGATGAAATTGCAAGTTTTTCAAGACATCCTCAGTCAGCAATTTTGATAAGGAATATTATTAAGGCTTCACAAATTTTGTAATGATTCCTTCTAACAAGAAAGACCAATACAGTAAAGTATGAATTTATTTGTGATGCTTTTCATTTATTTGGTTCTGCTTTTCAGGTTAAAGGGCAGGGTTTTGTAATCTTGGAATTGAAATCCTAACTCAGCATTTTCTGTGGCATTTTTAATTTAATTGCACTTCTTGATAGAGGAAAAATATACAGTAGCTCAAGTTTTGACATATCATGATCAAAAGTAGACCATCATGTAAAAATGTAAATGTGAAGGTACATGGACAAATTGAGACAGGGACAATTTGAGAAGGGTGATTTAGAGATGGACAGTTGGAGACATGCACATTTAGAGACCAGACAAATTTGAGGCTCTCCCAAAGCAACTCTGCACACACAATATGTTTTTTCTTTTTCACTTATTTTTTGGCTTTCTCCAGATTCTTGGGGAATTTCCAGTTGCGCTGAAATTTCTGGTTTTCCTCAGATTTCCATCCCCTCCCCAACTCTGTGCACAACACTTGTTTATACAGTACAGTACTGTATTACACTCAATTTTCTTGAGCTTGATTCCATTTGCAGATGTTTTTGAATGACATGTATTTGAATATTTGAAATATGCTTAGTTATCCATATTCACTATAATATTTTGTGCTACAGATTTATTGTGTTCTGGTGTGCTTGTATATGCATTATAATGTATCAAGAGAGGAAGGAAAGCAAGAGAAAGTTTGTTTCTTCAAAAACCCCAAAAAGACCTTGATACAATGCTAATGTGATATTCATCCCTACTACCTTTTAACCAAGCAGTGCAATTTTTCTTCTTTTTCACGCCTTCATTTTTTAAAATTCTTATGAAATTTTACACTTACTGTAAAAACATTCAAGACCGTATTTTCTCCTAATTAGTTCACCACTCTCTGAAATGTCAGCCTTTTTTTCAGCCAAAATTATTTTTCAACATCTAATTTCAATCCGAATTGTCTTTTATCAAGAGAGTCCAAACTTCTTGTTTTGGACTTCAGTTGAATTTTTTTGAAGAATAATGCAGATTAATTTCTATATTATTCCATCAACAAAAATTCAGTCATGCAGCAGTGCTGGTAAAAGTTGAACTGAATCAGTAAAAATGCCACTACAAGTTTGTAGAGGAAAAAAATATTTATTGAAAGTCCTGAGTGCCTTGAACTTGACAATAGACAAATTGAATGGTTTGAACCATCCAAAAAATGCACGAATTACCAAATGTACTTGAATAACATTTCTTGTGCATTTTTCATTGTGGAGCGCATAAAGCTCTACTGTTATAATTTGGTCCTTGGTCACTTTTGAGTTGGGCACCACTGGGCTACACCCTCGTACATAGTCAAGATAAATTCGATACTCGCCTTGTAGTTGGCCAAAACCTGGTCGTCACTCATGTTTAAATACTTCTGACACGCTCCCGGATTGCAGAAGCATCCCGTCCTCACGGAAACATCGTGAAGCTCAAACATTTTCGCTGCCTGAAAAATGCAAATGAGCAAGAATATCAAATACCGTAATGATATAAAACGATGATTAAAGAAAAAAAATAAAGAGCATAGCATACTTCTAAAACGTCTTCTCATTACAGAATCTCTAGCTCCTTCCAACGTTATGGAACCAAAAGTGAACATGCTGTTCAATTCAATCAGCAAATATCCCCATTTCATAGATTCTACAAAAGATAAAAGAATAATAATAATCACCTCGGAGAATCCAACGAAGCTGCCATCCGACCTCAGCAAATTGAATGCCAATGCACTTCCGTGCGTTTCTTTGCTGAAACATTCTTCCTTCACTCCGTAAATTCGCGTCACTTTTGCTCCATTGGCGTGTTTGAGATCCTTCAAACCCAGGAATGCGGCTTGAACCAAGCTGAAAACGTGATCTTGAATGCGGATCATGCTCCCTGTTATTCTCGCTAAAACGTCGAAGCTTCTCAGCAACGAAATGATGCTGAGGAATGAGACTGTGCCGTCTTCAAACCTGGAAGAACAAAAAGATCAAATCGTGAATGCGACATATTGAACTCATCGGCTCATTGCGAAGCTATAAAAATGAAAACGTCAAAACTGGATCCACTGCAACTTAACTCGAACTTCCCGACATAGAGCTATTTTTTTTTTTGCTAGTACCTGTCTGAATTCCCTTAGAAACCAAGACCTCGGTAACTATCGAAGGCTTTCGCCCCATCAATCATCAATAACTAACATTTTCCGGAGGTCTTCTGGCTATTATTCCATTTACACGGCATAGAGAAAAAGCGATTTTGTTTGAAATCAAGCGAAAGACTAATTTGGCTAATTAACCCTTGTCTCAAAGTTCAGCATCCTGCCAACTCATTCAAGATCCAGAATAGCACTAATCAGAAGCTGCTGAGATTCTTCTTTCTTTCTTTCTTTCAGAAAACCAAAAAGCTCGGTACCCTAATTCGAAACCTCTTTAACTCGATTTTATCCCTCGCTCCTTCGAAGTTTGACTTGAAGAGACTTATTGACCGTGCCTTACTTTCATTTTGTCGCATCTATTTTGACGCGTATCTTGACAAGAAAAATCACGGGAGTAAACCGCGCTTTAATTTGAGAATCCAATCGTCAAGAAGTCAAATGAATAACCTGCAGAGAGAATTAACTTTGGTAAGTTGAATTTGGGTCAGCAGTCAAGTAGTAAACCTAACTTGCTTTTGAGAAAAGAAGGACAATCATTTCGTGCAAAAAAGTCTTTCTACATACCGTAATTATCTTCAACGTGGCATGGTATGGTAATAAAGGATAGTTGTTTGTTGGTCAGAAGTCAGAACTCAGATTTCGCGTCAACAATGTTTTTTTGTTAGTGTTGTCCGGACATCAGTTCTTGAAAACTGAAATGAGGAATATTACAATTTTTATCAGGCGTAGGTACGAATGTTGCCCATTATTTTCCGGAAGTGAAATATCTTCTGTAAATGGTGGACACAAAATGTAGACATTCCTGCACGGTTAAAAAAAGTACAGTAGCTTTAAAAATTGAATCCTTTTTTTTAACGTTTCGTTAATCCAATTTATACGGAAATTTGCTGAATGATGTCACCGATCATTCCTGGAAATTCAATTAAAATGTCCAATTATCGAAGAAATTAAAAAATACTTCGCCCAAACTTTAATACAGCTGTATTCACTCAAGTATCACGCGCAGCTTTTTGCTCCGTCAACCTTGAGAGAGAAGAAGGGTTGCGCTTCATAGGTGGGTTTAAATTTTTCCAAAAATTTTAAAAGTTTAGGCAAACAGTATATCATACTCAACTCCAATGTGATATTTTGGACCTTCTTCAACAGAAAAACTTATTTTTATGGAAGCATGTATAATTAGGTGAATTCAAATTAAATTCAAACTTGGGCATTTTTTTTAAATACTGTATTGTGACCAAATTGTTTTCATCACGTCCCACAATACATGGACAATATTGTCTCATTTCTATGTTACATTCTGGAACTTAGAGCAACCCTTGCTTTGAAACTTGCTGCTCCAAAGCAGACAAGGACATTGTGCTCCCAATACACAGTCTGGTTTGCGGTCATTTCTTTTGTCCCCTTTTGGCGGCGTCCCTGTCTTGGTTGTGCAGCCGCGTCTGGTTTCTGTCAAATCTATAAAGGGTCTGCTCGCATATGTACAGATATTCATTGTTGGCCTGGCACTGCTGATGTTGCACAGAATATACCTATTGCCACTCTAAATCAAGAAGTTGTGTTTTACTTCAACCCCAGCCATAAGAACTAAATCTTCTTGTTAAAAGATTATCCTTGAAGAGTTTACCTTCTTTAGATTAATCAATCTTTGGAAAGAGATGTTTTTCCTAGATCAAAAGAGTCTTCAGATAATTCTCTCGGTAATTCAGGATAACAATATGACGGTTTTAAAGTTACAAGAAATGGCGTGCAAGTCTAACTCGTGAATACCAGTTTATCAAGATTTTCCACAGAAAAACCCTGACAATGCGATTAGAACGTTTGGTACTCGAATAAATATAATACCTCTCATGTTTCGTGAGCTCGATTCAATATGCAAGAAAGTAAATTATACAAAGCAACTTCGACCAAATGTGATGAAGGTATCCTCCCCCCCCACCACAAAAAGCAGCTTCTCTTCAACTTTTTGCGAGATATTAACTTCTCCTTGCTACCTCGAGAACACATACTTTTCGTGCTGCGGATGACTGGTCGAGTTACAATTTCATGCGATGAGTCTTTAAATGAAAATAAAAAAAAAAAAAAAAAAAAAAAACTAGACAAACCTTGTGCTCAAGTCGGTTCGCAAAACAACATCCCGCTTCTTGGTGAGAGCAACAGCCACAGTGCCTCCGCCAAAGTAGTCCCGTTCACCCGATAGGACCTTGTTGCCAGCCTGTTTCCGCACAACAAGGGCTCCAATCCCCGTCGGGAAACCGAAAACTTTGTAAAACGACAAACAAACGAAATCCGCGCAACACCGAGACAACCGCAACGGACTCGTTCCCACGTGTGACGCGGCATCGAGCAACACGAACCACTCACTAACTCGCGTCACTCGTCGTCCTCCGATCTCTTCAACGGATTCGTTGTCCTTATTCATCTCCTCACGCATCACTTCCTTGCTTGGCCCCAACAACGATTCCACGGCATTCTTGAATTGCTCTTCACCACTGCAAGGATAATAATGTACACTTCGAATTCATGATCATCATCTACACTTCTACAGTATCGAGGAAAATATGTGTCAGTCCCAAAAATAAAGTACCGTATGTCTACAGTATACGAAGTGTATACTACTGTACTATAAAATCTCATTACAGTACAACAAACTATTGGGGACTTGAGAAAAAGTTTCTTACAGCAAATAATTTCTTATAACGGTAACAAGATTTCCAAAATAATTGATTGAAAGCGATTCTCAAATAAACTTTACCTATATCTGACTGGATCTTGTTTTTCTGACATTCTTGGATATTTTTATTGTTGTTTCAAAAGCTAATTTAACTTCTGGAAAAATACTTTGCTTCAACCATCCATTCCACCAGTTTCACAAATCTCTTCATTTTGGGAGGAATCTATGTTTGGAACCACTTGAAAGAATGTTTGTCATTAATTAAAGCTTCCATCCATCCCCTCAGAAGTCACAATTGAGAACACAAATTTCAGGCTGTGAATGTCGCATTGAGAAAATTTCTACCTTGAAAATCTATTAAACATTACTCAAAAAAGCTTTTTGCACAGGAAATGAGAAGTTGGTCATCAGGAGATTTTTTTAGCAAGTAATCTCTCTGGGTTTTCTGCTGGGACTTGAGAAGAAGTTTTATACATTGGAACATTTCTGGCAACCGGATTTTTAGTAACAATATACTTCTGTTTTTTTGCATCAGGTAATCAGGTTCCATTTACTAAATCACTTTCATGCAACTTTCATTGTGGGGCCTCAATTATGATTCTCCATGAATAGAAAAGCTCACCCGAAAACATCCGGATCACGCAACTTCCTACACCAGTCCAAGGGAAATTTCCGGCCGGAAAAATTACTGGTCGCGGGATACGCAAATAATCCAAAGTTCTCAGCATCTTCGACACGCTCCAGTTTTTCTTTTTCAAGCGTTGTCTGCGTGATTCCGAGCAACTCATCCGCATCGACGCAGTAAACTGATGCTCCTCGTCGAGAAGCTAGTCTTCTCGCACCGAACACAGAGGTATGATTTTCTTGCGTATACAAGTAAATGCCACCTAGGAATGGAAAGAAAAAAAAAGACGAATGTAGAGGCCAACAGAAAGGAATTCGGATACCATGCAGGAAATTCTTGCTAAATCAAACTTTCGCGGACTTCAGAAAAAGTTTGTTAAGCTGAAGAATTCTTTAGACAGTAACGAGATTTTCTAAATTTTCGAATCAGGCCTGCCTGAAATCAATTAGATCTTGCTTTCCTACTGGCAGTTTTATTTATTGTTTGAAAAACTGAGTGATCTTCCAGACATTTTCTTTTTCACACGCGATCATGCACTTCATCACAGCACCAATTTCTTTAATCTCGGAAGGATGACGTATTGAACCACTCAGAAACATGCTTCTCTTCGATTACAGCTCCTATCCATGCTACAATAGAAATCAGGCACGGACTGGGATCAGAATGAAAAAATGTCCCTGCCTTGGTCAGAAAATTTCTACCTCGATTATTTTCAAATATTCCTCAAAAAAGTTTATTTTGACATGATTGTCAACAGTTACTTTATGGGCTTTCGTGTAATACAAAAATTTTTTTTTTATGAATGGCATGCGTTGTAACGAGATGTTACTGGATATTACGCTCACCTCCGCCTCGGGAAAAGTCGAAGGATTCCGCAACTATTTTAATTGCGCCGGTGGCTCCTGACGTGAAAACAACATCGTAATCTTCCGCCGAAGCATCCAAGAATTCCAGGATTCTGAGTTCGACAAATGGACAATCAAAACAAGTAAATACTGCATACGAAAGAAACAAAATACCTATCCCCATACCTCAAGCGGGCTTGGTCAATCAGATCAGTCGTCAATCTAGACGGGGCATGATTGGAATGCGGATTTCCCAGGAGCTTGCCTCCAGGCGGGATCAAGTCGTTGGTCAAGTTTTCGATTTGTGACTTGGCAAACAAAGTTGTTCCGAAATGGTCCAAGTAATGTTGACCTTGATACACGACGACGAAACTCAAAAATGATGCGAGCCCAAAAACAAATAAATTATGAAATATTTCATCGCAGTTCTTACCCAAGGCATGTGGAAATTCTGCATTGAGAACTGCAGTATTGATAAGATCCATTGTCCCCAGATAAAAAAAAAATCCGGATTCACCCCGGAGCAAGCATCAACTACTACCTACAATATAAATAACAATTCCGCTTCACCAGGTTTGAAAAAAAAAAATTAAGTGTTCCATCAAGAAATGAAAATAGTTCTTCACACTTTTCCCGCGTTGCAAAATCATGGTTTTTCATTGGAGTTTGTTCCTAGCATAACCTCACACTTTCATCGTGACTTCCAATCCTTCCCAGGCTTTTAGGGAACAATTTAAAATCATTTCATTTAATTGAAATGGAAACTTGAGAGTTCTCAGTAAAGCAAGAATCATTTCGTTTCCCTTTTTTAGAAAAACTTGAGAAGCGTCAAACTTCCACATTTTTTGATCCATCGTAATCGATTTTCGAAGCTTAATGTAGTAATTTTCCTGCGAATGACGCACAGTGTGAAGGATGACACACACACGACAAAGACATTGAAACAAAACTGAGGCGGCAATTCAAGATGCCAACTTGAAGATGGGCTGCTGGGACTTGGAAAACAAACTTGGAACATGTCAAAAAAGGATATACCGTATTTACTTGAGTACAGTAACATATTCACCCTTTTTTCTCAAAGTTGAGAGTATAAAAAGATAGGTTCACGTCACAGGGAGGTATACATTTTTCAAAACGTTTCAAAAGTTCACAATATCATTACACTTGATTCCAATAAAAATTTCGCATGAAGTTCAATCGAAAAACTCATTCTATCGCAAACCATCAAAAATAATTTCATTTCAAACTCAATTAATGTCTGAATTCAAATTTGAGTGCTATAAATTTTGAAATATTGTGGTTTTGGATTCACTAGAAACGGGGTGCGCATCTCACTCAGGTGTATACATTTTAACTGAAAAAATTTTCAATTGAAAAACTCGGATGCGTGTCTCACTGAAGGGTTCCATGAAAAATTCTTGAGTAATTTATCGATTTCAAAAGAAATCGTAGAAGTCCGAATTACTTCAACGATATTTAAGGACCCATTTCTTATTTTCCTCGTTCCACCTCAGGGGTGAAAAAAGGGGGGGGGGGGGAGATCTGTGCGTTCATTACCAGCAAAATTGTTGACCGTCACTTTCGAAAAATATGCAACTTCAAAACTTATGCAAAGATTCTCTCATACACAACTTCAATCCCTCAGCATTGAATGAAGCCTCCCTCTTTGATGGAACGCGAGAAATCCGATTTTTATCTGTAATCCTGACGCTGCGTGATGATAAAGATCAGAAATTCCAGAAGAAAAGAAAAAACATGTATGCAGTACAAACAATCTGATCAGGCACCAAGTTCTTCCAACCATTAGCACAACACAGTAATCATCATCACCAGCAGGCCACCCGAGAAAGCACAAGGAAACACGCGATTTTTTCAATCATCAAACTCGTCCTTCCTTCCATCACCGCTCAATCCGGCAGAATGAAATGGAAGGAACTCAGAGCAGTTCCTTTCCTTCATCTACAAATGGTGAGGACGCCCGCGGTTATCATGAACTGTACCTCCTCTTGAGATTCGCTGCGTCACCAGATTCATCTCTGTCCCAGCTGGAATCCCTAGCACGTAAAAAAAGGCATCTTGCTCCTGTCATCAAGCGCGATCAAACAGCCAGTCCCGCGGCTATTCCACAACTTAACGCTCCGCGTTTACTGAATCAAAAAAAAAAAAAAAGAGACTTCACCGATCATTTTTAATAGCAGCAGATTACGCAATGCCAGAAAATGTCTCATTCAAACAGCTGACCATCTGACGCCTGCAGAAATGTCGGAGCAACATGCGTCAAGGAAGAAACGAAAAAATTCGTGAAAAATGACGCAGTTTCAAATTCAGATTCGACATTTACTTATACAATCCCAACAAGGTCAACAGTACAAAAGTAAAAAAAAAAAACGTTATTTCGCAGATGAAACGTTTTCTTTGAAATACGGGCACATTGAGTTGCTTGTCCACGAAGTCATAGGCAAAGAAAACAAGAGAAGCCACACGTAAAAAAAATATCAAAATTTCTTCCAAGAAGGAATCACACCGGAACTATTGATACAAGTCTGTTTCACATTTCTGCAAGGAAATTTTGAAGCACTGTCCACCGAGATTGTGCACAAATCGGTTCCTTTGCTCTTCCGATGACAATAAGCCAAGTTTATCACCCAGCTCTACCGACCACTCGTACCAAACGTGCTTCTCGTCACTCTTCCTCGACATCGTCACCGTTATTTTCCCACCACGTTCAACCAAAAGCGGATTCTGGGTTTAAAAACAAAGAAGAATTGAAACGTTTGTTAGTTTCATAGGCTTCCATGCACCCAATGACATACGTGCATCAAATATTTCTCAAATCCAAGTTATTGTTTGGACCAGCGTTCCCCAACCCCTGGACTGCAAACTAGGATTGGTCCATAGAAGTTTTTTTGCCAGTCTTCCAGAAATTCTTTTATAGCAGGATAAATGTTTAAAAGTAGACATGAAGTCTGTTATCTATTTCTGAAATTTCGGAAAGACAATGGCAGTTTAAAAAATTCGATGGAAAATTAATTTTGGCTTCACTCCTAATAACACTCGACAAATTTCCACCTGCCAACTTGAATTATTTCAACTTCAATGAGAAACCTTCCAAGTCCACCTTTCTAATTTTTGTAAGACATTCCACTACAGCTGCTTTACTGGTTCCCAACTCCATTTTTGTAAATCAGCGAAACAATTTTGATACCTACCTTAAAGCCTTTCAAGAGTTTCAACCAAAACTTCTTTGAATTTTCAAGAATTTTATGAAACTTTGCAGGTCCATGGGAAAGTTTATGGAAATTTGCCAATTCAAATTTTTTTAAAAGAAGTTTTGCCTGTCTGCAGGTTTAAAAAGGTTGGGTAACACTGGTTCAGACACAAGGAATATATTGAAATCCCATTGCAACAGGCTTTTGGGGACTTCCAAATGAGTTTTTTACACTGACAATTTTTTTACAAGATTTTCAAAAATAAAAACTGGAAAATTTGACACATTGGACATACCAACAATCGATTAAATCTGATATTCTCAGTTTTTTTTCATTCTTTGAAAAAATTACGTTTAATCATGAATGCCATCAGTGATTCTACCTTGAGAGTCTATTAAACATTCCTCAAAAAAGTTTTGTTATGCTGGAATTGGGAAGTTATTACAATGAGATTGTTTCAACATGTACTTGATTGGCTTTCTGCCAGAAATTGAGAAAAGTTTTTTTTACTGAACTATTTCTTGTAACAACATTTACAGTATTCAAGTACAGTATCATCATGTGTACAGTATGCAGTTTCAGACAACAACAACAACAAAAAGTATCAACTCAGCCTGCTCTGAAGCTTTGAATCTCCAAATCAGCACAAAAATTGGAATCTACTCCAGTAGGACTATACTAACCTGAAGCGGGAAAAACATGGGATACCAAGTCACTGTGTCCATCCCACTCATTCCCGGGCGGTGCTTCACATTTCCCAACTCTCCCGAACCATCGAGAAGAATTGCTTGAAATCCGCCTTCAAGCCCGTGTATGGTGGCATCAGCTACTGGGGTAAACTCAATCTGCTTGGTCCAATCCTTACTCGCTCCTTTCGGGAAAACTTCCCTGTGCACTGGACTAGGTGAAGACACCCCAAATGTTGACTTGGAACTGAAAAGCCACGGACACTGTCCCTCAAATCCTTGCGAAATTTCCCAACAATGAAGATGAGATGTTATGGATGCGTGCATCATCGGCGCCTGGATTGGCGTTAGAAACGCGGTGACTGATGATGGGATTACGAGTCCCCACTCTGTCAACAATATTTCAAGAAGAAAAAAAAAGGGCATGAGTGCAAGAATACCAAACAATTCAAAGATGTCTGGAAAATGTCAAACTTCTGGAAACCGTTCCAGACTCTGCATTTATTCTATAATGGACAGCTGTCGACAGAATAAATGTGTCGACAAGTCCCGCTTCAACTGGATTGGTTAGTTCGGGTTAAGTTGATTTCGGTCAGAAAAGCTCAGGTCAGGTTTGGGTATGCAACTTCATATACTTCTACCTTATTTTTCAAAATACCATACTTCCTCAAAAGCCTCATATCCGCATTCATTCGCGATAGAATTGTCCAAAAATTCGATGTTATCAGGTGTCACCACACGACTGGTACTTTCTTGCCTTAATTTCTGGGAAAAAAGGTTCGCATGTTACTCGAAAAATTTACTACAGTATTTTCATCAGTATCAGGGTTTCAGGACACACCTTCTAATTCTACAACAAGGCAAAACGCAGGTTTGAGCAATGAAGCGCCACAGGTAAGTTCAGGTACAATTGGACATTTGCGAATCTGACGTTGCACACACTGTATTCTATTCATATTCTCACACGCATTACAAAATGATGACACTACTAACCTTCCAAGTACTTTTCAACGGGACGAACACATTCCGTCATACATTGATCGTCACCAAAGGAACCCAAGAAATCCGAAAAAATGGCGTCTAGCTTTTGTGGCGGTTGCCAGAACCGACTATCTTTGAAATAAACATGAACACAATCCTTCCAGGTTGCTTGAGTCACCTTGCTTTCCAACCTGAAAATTTGAAGATGAAACTTCTGAATTACAAGGTTACTTCAGAATCTTTAGTGACATTCATTTTTGGCATCCCGGTATTAATCGCTCAAGTTATGATTCGCGCAAAAAAGGAAAAATTTGCTTAGAAGGACATCAGTTCCGACATGTTCAGTACTCACCACAAATAAGGAATCAGGTTCTTTTCAACAGCGTGAACAACTACGTCTATTCCCGATGCTTCAGACACACTCAACACTGTCTCAACCAAAGATCCGCAGCCTGCTCCCAGGATAGCCACTTGTCTGTGCACAAACACCAAGAAAAGAAAGAGGACAAAACAAGTGTCACTCGACGCTCGAATACAAGGAATAGAAATGGCATCTGGGAATTCTCGTACAGCTTTCCTGAAACTCCAAGATCTTTCCTTCTTCTTCCCAGGACTCCCAGGGCCCGACAAAACGCATTTCTGTACATGAAATACTTGCAGGAATCTTCGGCATAACGCTGGTAATCTCCAATGACTGCATCATGAATGAAAGGCTCCGGCACTCGAATCAGCAAATGATCATTGTTGATACTACTACGTACACCAAATGCATCTCCATTGCAGGACTGTAGGGGTTGAATAATCGGCAACAGTTGAGCAGACAGGTTGAATCAAGCAACTACAGTAAAATATCGGTACAACGAACTCCAGGGACGAGAGAAAATTTTCTTTAAACCGCAAGACTCATGGAGCCTTGAGCATGTAGGATTGAAATTTAGTGGGAAACACTCAATAGCTCTTACAAAGAACTGTACTGTACTTCGACAGCAGATATGCGAAGAATTACTGACGTTTTCTTCCTTTTGATAAAATATTAGTGAAAATTCAAATCTGAAATAAAATTCTCTCGTTTCAAACTTCCCTTTCCTACATTTCCTAAAAATATACCGGTGTTACTGAAGCTCAAGCTGAAACAAACGGAAAATACATCTAAAAGAAGAGCATACATCCATTAAGAGCCTATGTTCCCTGAAACAGAGCAGTAGGCTCCCAAACACACATATCCTTCAAAAAATTAACCATTTTTGAATTATAAAACAAAGCAAAATAAATTCTGATTTAAGCTTCATACTTCCTGGAAAATCGCATTTTCTAAACAAAATTATCAGTTACATTTTCTGAAGATTTTTTTCACTTTGGCACAAGCTGAGTTTTTCTATGCAGTATTGTGCAAATTATTGAACATTTCTCGGGTCCATCTATAAGTAATAAAGGTGGAAATTTGTTACACCTAGATGATGAAGCATATTTTAAGAACACTGTCTCTATGCTACATTTCAAGCGCAATGTACGAATTTCAATTCACCCGAGTACGTAATTAATGATACAATAGCTTTTTCAGGATGCAAGCAGAAAGTCTTGTGGGAGCCTTTTATTTTATAAATAAAATGATACACTGAGACATTAACAGTTGAAAACTTGGTCACTCACTTCTGACAAAGATTCCTTGATCCCGTACAAATGATTCACGTAGGATCCCAACCGGATAAATGGCAAAACAGGTCCAGAGATCACCACCGACACTCCGAAAGCAAGCAATGCTTTCGCGAATTCTTTGTGGGCAGAATATAAAACCGGTCTTCCGTCTTTCAAAGTAAACGACGATGTTGACAACGCGAAAAATGCCACTGGCTCACTGCACCAACGCTCGACAATCACTTCGGGAACACTCATGACATCAGGCAGGACGAGGATCACGCTGAATCTTTGAGCTGCCAAGATCTGCTTCCCGAGACCGTCTCGCAATTTCCGCCACCTGTCAGAATTTCCGAAATTTGACTCCAGTATAGACAAAAAAGACAGTCCAAGAACACCAACCAATGCCAAGGATTGTCATAACTAGAATCACGTCGAGGTTCATCACAGCCAAAACTTGCTTTCGACGAAGTTACAAGAGGCACAGATACCAAGAAATTCGTTGCAACCTGCACAAGACAATAGAAAGTTACATTCCTGTTAAGATGAAACCAGCGTGAGATATATATTAAACAACAAGGAAATCACCCTCGGAATTGCGTCAGGAGCAAGCCACGCCCTCAGAGCATCTATCAGCATAGGATGGGGTTCACAGGTGAGTTCAAAATTTACAAGAACGCACCCAACGTGATTTGCTTCTAAAACCTCCGACTTGAACCGCAAAAATACCCGCTCACGCAGACGAGGATTTCTACTCCGTAACTGCGCAACCGACGTCAGTTTTCCAACGTAACACGATTTCCAAGCTATTGAACAAACTTTCATCATATCAACAATTTCACGAAACAATACAACAATGAACAGCTCTTCCAACAACTCCGAAAATGTAATAATTACCAAGTACTGTATACGGACAAATTAAATTGACCGACGACTGAACAGAACATTGTTTCCCCTTTCCGGCACGACCGTAAAACTTACGAGCTCAAGAGAGAGGCTTGGGTTGAACACAGAGGGCTGAAAATGATTGCATTAATCTTAAATCAATTTTCTCTCAAGGCTCGACAAGACAATCGGTACTTCGAAGAAAATACATTTCTGAACGCTCTGAAAAGTGAAAAAATAAGTGCCTTACTGTCATCGTCAAGGGCGTTTTCGGTGCGTACGGCAGGGAATCCGGCATTCCCACACAGATGAGGTAGAAGTGGATGGCCAATCGGCGAGAGAAATTTCGTGAATCTGAAAAAATTATTTCTGCATGAAGATTTCAACAATTCGAAAAAGTCCTTGTTGACACTAGCTCACCCTTCACACGCGGAATTCAAAGAATCGGCGTACAGATCACATGATGCACCTGTTTCCCGCATGAAAACAGGCACGAACACCATTTCTGCAAGTGGAACGCCAATTAGCTCTGAAAATCAGATACACAGCATCACTGGCAAAGGTCAGCTTGATAACTTTATCATCGTCTTCAGCAATATCTTGCCTAACAAAGAATTACAATCCATCCTCTTAATGAATATTACTCCTCTGGCGGGATAAGAACATGAACACTTTTCCAATATTTCTCTGGCAATAACTCTTTTAGTTCATCACACGTGACCCAGCGGAGCTCCTGAATTTCTGATGATCTGGGTTGATCCTTATGCAGAAGAGCTTCATCGCTGAGATCATGACCCGTCGGCGAGGAAAAAATTCCTTTGTAGAAAAATATCTGCGGGAGATAAAATACAAAGTCACAAAAAAAAAGGAACAAAATCTCTTGGCGCATCTCACTTTTCCGCCGACGGAGTTGGCTTTTTGTGCCACCGGTGTTGGGTATTTGAACGTGTACACAGAAGCGGGAGCGTTTCCCAGCACTTGAACTTGCCAGTTCTTGCCTTTTCCATCCCCAATGCAGTCACTTAGAACTCTACCCACAGACTGAATTGGAGAAAAAAATTTCTTTATGAACGACAGTAAATAACAACAGAATCAATGGTGCTACAAACGTCTCTAATGGTTTCTCCTGGAATCCACCTCTTCGTTGGAACCATCCATTGAGGCTCTCTGCCTAGTTTTACCTTTGCAACAAGGTACAACGGCCGCTCAAGTTTCCCGTCCCTGGCTTCAGTTTTGAAGTCCTTTGCATTATCCATCCAAGAATCTTCAAGCTCTTGAACAGTAACCAATTTTACTTCCTCTTCCTCCGATTTTTTGCCCTTACTCCTGAAGAAGACGGACCCATCAGAGGGAGTTTTTCCTTTGGTGATTACATCAAGTGAATCAGATTATTTTACCGTTTCTCCAAATCAGCTTTCATTTCGTGATCACATCTGAGACTTCTTTCGGCATCCATCTTTTGAAGGCAGTGCTGCACTGTCTGTTCAAGTTTGGTCAATGCAGGGGACAGCAGAGGGGCTCGCTCAACACATATAGCCGCAAACAAATCATAGCGTCTACTCGTTTCTGCGGAAGTTGCACACTGTCTCAACTGCGCGGCACGGTTTCGCACGCACCAAGTGCTTTGACGAACTATCATTGACCACATATCTAACGAATGCAAGAGGGAATGAACTTCGCGAAGTGCTGAGATTCAATTGAAATTTAGTAATGTACTATAGTAAAATCATGGAAGACGCATAAATTTCAGGAACAATCCGCTTGGGAGTTCCTGGGAATACCTGTCGCCGGATTACTTCGAGGATGCCTCCACCGCATGCTTTAAATTTGAATTCACTCTGGAGTTAACTGGGCAATGTCTTAACACAGAAAATGTGAACAGTAGACAGTGGGTTCCATGCAATAAGCAGTGGGGCACAGAAAAACCAGGCAATTGAATAAGCACACATGATGTACCTCATTGAATTGTTACAGGATTTTCCACGTGATTCACCCAGCTAAAACATCGCATCATATAATATTGAATACGGTACTCTATTTACCTGAGCACAATGCCCTGGAGTAAGCAGGAACCTAGGTTTTTCAGTAGAAAATCTTGAACAAAATCCAATTCCCAAGTAAGAATCGTACCCCGTTTCTGGCAAATCTACTGACAGGGAAAAGATATACAGAAAGATAATATCCAACCAGAAGTCTGATGAGAGCTTCGCCCTTCCGCAATCCAACTACATCACTCTGAAGCATAAGAAATGAACATAGCGGATACGTTTAAGGCGAGAACACAGACAACCGGTTGAGCAAAATCGGAAAACTCAAAATCTTCTCTACGCAGGAAATCAAAAAAACTTCCCAACACGGACCTGTTACCAAGAATCAGTAGATAATGCAATGTATCAATAAATCAACACTTCCTCTACATGCGGCACGCCGACGGTGCCCGAACGTTATACTGTAGTACACTTTCCAACTCGACGCCACTTCTGCAGCAACGTCCGTTCAACGATCAGGAACCAGGGCGCCACCATGACACGAGTTCGACTAGACCTTGGCGACATCTGAAGACGTCTGAACAAACGACTAATACCCCGGTGACCCAAAGGGGGCTGCAATCCTGCAAATTTGTGTCAATTATGCTGCAATGTGAAAGCAGTGGTGAATGTGAAAACAACATATGGCTCCAGCCTTTCAGATATACCGTAGTACGGTATTCACCTTTGATTAACTATAGAAACAAGCTATCATCACTTAATTGAAGGTTGAGTCAGTAATTCTTCAAGAAATCCATCAATTCATTTTCACCTGCAGTGAAAGCTTGACTGGCAGTGTAGCCTTCTTCATCTATGATATCCTTGAATTCTTGATGGAAGTTGATAGCCTCCTGATTGCTAGCACTGCCACCTTCTCCAGACACTTCTAATTCCAGTTCTTTTCTAAATCTGTGGTACCAGCCATTCCTATAGCTGTAATTAAAAATCAAGATAATCATGATTTTAATATTTCACTAAAAGATCACTCAGTGGGATTACAGTAATGTAATGTAATTTACTAACCTCTGAAGCCTTTATGTTCTTTTTGGTCATCTTCCTCTCCATTTTCTTCATGATCATCTTCAGTGTCTCTTCAGGATAATCCTTGACGATTTATTCCTCATATATTCTCACCGTTTTTCACCACTCTCAATTCTTTCAATCATCACTCTTTTCTCATCAAAAGTGACAAGTTCCCTTTTTTGCCACTCTTGTTGGACATTTTAACTTTTCTCTCTGAAAAACTTGAGCAAAACAGGCAAGATTACAACAAAGAGGTCAGAAATACAACACATAACACATTCAAAGCCCAAATAATGATGTTTTTCACTTTAATTAGGTAGGGAAGCTAGGGGGATGTGAGGTTAAGGGAGTAAGGGGCTGGGGGGGTGCACTAGCTCAAATTTCGGCAGCTCACATGTGAGCTCCGGCGAGAAGTCCGTCCACCGAGGGATGCACTTCCACCCACCATGCACACTTTACAGTCAAACCCCAGTTTACGGACTTGATTCATTCCATGGACTGGTCTGCAACCTGTGAGTCTGTAAACTGGTGAGTCCGTAACCTGAAACACAATCTGCCATAGACCTTATTGTTGAAAATTTCAATTTGTTCAAAATTTTGAAAATATTTCCTAAATAATGAGCTTAGGAAATTTGTCAAAAAGTGAATTCTGAACCAATTTACAAATATTTTACAGCATTGCATGCGCAAAGATGTTTTCTAATTTTCCTTATTTTAACCATGCCAAAATCTGAAAATTTGACAGAATTACAAACAAAAAAGTAAAAACATTTTTGAAAATTGTAAAAAAATCACAAATTTTTTTCACTTTTTGAATTTTAGCTGTTTCAATTTGTAACGTTTTTCAATAAAAAAAAGTAAACTTGTAAAACATCACTCAACATGACACCTTATAAATAATTTTCAAGTTTCATCAAAAGCAAATAAATTGAAATCAGCCAAACTAAAAAATTTGAATTCTTGTTTCCCTTTTTCTTCCCAATTTTTCATTTTTAAAATTTGCCAAAAGGAAAATTTTGCATTGAAATGCAGATTTGCAACTGGATTGGAAGCACCATGAAGTTCTCAAATCTTCCCATTTTTTAAACTTTGGAAATAATTAAAATTGACAGCAGTGAAAAGGAGCATGTAAAACCTTTTCTAAATCCATTCTTACAAAATTCTTTTTTTTAATCTGAAAATTCCAGCAAAATTTCCGTCTTCACCAAACTTCAAATTTTAAAGGGATTAGAGACACAGATATTTTTCTGAAATTTTGTGTTTGCTCTTGAAAAACCTAGCAAATTAAGAAATGTATGAGGAAAAACTAGAACTTTAAAATTTTTTTATTGTTTCTGTAATAACTGTGCTTCATTTGAAAATGTCCCCTTTTAACTGTGCTTCTTTTGGTATTAACTGTGCACTTTATGCACTGTCAATACATGAAACAATGAAGCATACCAATTAGTCTCTAAATTACAAAATCTAACATATTCTAGTTTCTTGCTTGATTCTAAGAGCTATAATTTTATTTTAGCGTGAAATATTTTCAAAATTCTAACCTCTTTATACATATTTAAAAAATGGGAAATTTCTTCCTCCACCAAACTTTGAAGTTTTCAAAGGGATTAGAGTAGCAGAACTTTTTTAATTTTCATGTTTTGTGTTGTAAAATCTATGAAATTAAAGTATTTACAAAAACAAAGTGGAACTTTTTTGATTTTTGAATCGAATGACTAATAACTGCTTCAATTTTTAATGTATTGAGGGTGCATAAAGTGCAGGGGGTTGTGCAGTTTCAGAATGTCAGTGTTTCCCCCCCCCCCCCAGAAGATGAATTTCCCCCCTTTTTCTACAAAAAAGGGAGTTTTTTTTAATTTCCTCCTTTTTTCTTTCTTTAAACAGGGAAAATTTTCCCCATTTTTCAAAGGGGTTTTTTCCCTTTTTTATAAGAAGTGGAAATTTTTGAGACGGGGTGTTTTTAATTTGTTCCCCTTTTCTTAAAGAAACTTGGAAGATACAAAACTGTGACATTCTGTATTTGTAGAACACCTGCATTTTATTCTTTGTCAATAAATAGAACAATGAAGCACAGTTATTAGGCAATCAAAAAAATTTTTAATTTAGTTTTTTCTTATACATTTTTCAATTTTTATAGATTTTTCAACAAAAACATGCAAATTCAGAAAAAATATCTATGGCTCCCATTAAAATTTGAAGTTTGGTGAAGAAGGAAATTTTGCCTGAATTTTCAGATTTATAAAAATGAAAAATTGGGAAGAAAAAGGGAAACAAGAATTCAAATTTTTTAGTTTGGCTGATTTCAATTTATTTGCTTTTGATGAAACTTGAAAATTATTTATAAGGTGTCATGTTGAGTGATGTTTAACAAGTTTACTTTTTTATTGAAAAATGTTGCAAAATAAAACAGTTAAAATTCAAAAAGTAAAAACTTTTTTTAGTGATTTTTGTAAAATTAAAATTTTTTTTTACATTTTAAGTTGTAATTCTGTCAAATTTTCAGATTTTGTCATTTGAGAAAAAGCAAATTCGGAAAACATCTTTGTGCATGCAACGCTGTTAAAAGTTTGGAAATTGGTTGAACATTGAATTAAAAAAACATTTTCAAAGTAAGCAAAATGGACCATGGTCTGTAACCTGGGTTATGGTTCACAAACCAGTGCAACTTCGCAAAAATGGAGGCAGTCTGTAAGCTGAAAATCTGTAACCCAGTACATATGTAAACCGGGGTTTGACTGTAATGGACTGAAGTCTGTTAGGCAGATTCAGTCCATTGGGCAAGAGGAAAAACCACCTCCAGAGGTGGTCTGTCTGTCAAAAATCTGTACAATGGGAGGTCCCTTAGGTGGGGTGCCACTGTACTAATTTTGGACCAGACAGAGGTGTCATTCTGAAATTTTCCATAAAATTAATTCTTAGGACAAGTCCTGTGCATGCAGGTGCCTCAGTTCTGTGCTTGAAAGGAGCAGAAATAATATATTCAAAGCTTTTGCTACAGTACAGTACATTGTTTGGTCTACTAACTCCAAAGCTCCCAATAAGAGCTCAAAGGAAACCAGAGAGAAGAGGACCAGGAAACAAGGACCAAGAGTATTCACCCCCACCTCCCCATGTCCCACACCTGACCTTACATATCAGGACTTGTTTTTCCTTGAAGAATTCTACACAATATTGCCCTACTTTCCCACTTCAGCACCATACAATCACAACCTCTGAATCTCTTCTGCCTTTCAACTGCGTTGTTTGACTCAATGATGCTTACAGACCAGGTTAAATCAGTGTTCACAATCATTCTAAGCTGACCAGCTAATTTCCAACTAAAAATTCTGCAGACTGGCAAAGTTTCATAAATGTTTGCAGACTCAAAGCAGTTTTGCATGAACGACTTAATGGCAGTTATTTGAAATTTTTTGGCTTTTTTGACAAAAATTAAGTTAAGAACCAATTATGCAGCTATGGCTGATAGTCATAAAAATAGGAAGGTGTCCCCAAATACAAAATAAAAAGGATTGACTCCATGAGGTGAATGTTTGTCTGACATGTTATTTGGAGAAGAGCCAACTTATGTCATCAATTAATTTGAACTGCCATGGTGTTTCCAA